CGGTGGAACTCCAATCGAGGCTTGGCCACGGATACCACCGCCGCCCTCGTCCGATCAGGAAGCCTCCAGGGTCTGCAGCATCCTGGGCGCCTTCCTGAACCAACGCCCCCACCGCATGCGGGGCCCAGGCCCCGCCTGCTGCCCCACCGTCAACGAAGCACTCGAGCACAGCGGCGGGCCGGAGGCCCCCCCCTCGGGCAGGCGGTGCAGCGAGCCCCGGGGGGGCGACGGCCATCACAGGAGCGCTGCCTTCCAGGACAAGGGGGGGCCTGCCTGGCCACGGCGGGCTTCGGCCACGAACAGTGGCATGTGGCCAGGACAAGGATGCAGGCGGGTGAGGAGGTCTGAGAATGTCTCGTATCCGGCGGCTCTGGAGCATGTCTCGGCCGCCGCGGCTTTCTCGGAGCGTTCTGGGATGTTCTGAGGGCGTTCCCGAACGCTCTGGAGCGGGCTTATCCTCGTCCTAGCCCCGTCCGAAACAGGCCCCCTCCGACCAGCCCAGATCTGAGGAGCGGCCCAGGACCCCTGAGCCACCAGCAGCGGCGTCTTGGTTGTAACCCTGCGAGGTTTCGAGCGGAACAGCAAGTCGGCCCCTTCAGGACAACTCTTCTTTCCAGCGTCTTGGCTGCAACTCTCCCCCTGTAACTGACGGCATGGCGACCCCAACCCCTGACTCTGCGGGGTTTTCGAGTGGAGCAGAAGGTCGGCCCCTTCAGGAGCACTCTTCTGCAGAGCACTCGACCTCTCCACGCTCATGGACCCACTGGTGCCGTCCGCCTGGTGCTTTCCATCCCGAGCCGTGTTTTCTTGCGTTCCTGGTGAGGGTCCCCGGAAGCCGAGGGCGGTCAACGACAACCTGGCGTCGTGATTTCTGCTGTTCGCGCCGAGGGGAGGTCTGAGGAGGCGCAGGCTTGAGTGATCCTTTTTGACATTAGGCAGGCTGAGCGTCATGGCTGAAGCGTTCGCTCGATCCTTCTCTGCCTCCCTCTGCTCTTGGTATCCCGCCCCCTTCTGGGGGGGAGGGGGGAGGGGCAAAAAAACACCGATGCCGCTGCTCCACGGACCTTTCTGGCCCGCGCGAGTGCTCGCCAGGATCTCCCGGCGAATCCAGCACTGGCGAGGAGGAAAAGGCGGCAGTGTCGGCAGATCCTCCCTTCTGGACCCTCTTCCTTCGTCCCCCTGTCCTTGCCCTCCCCTCCTGCTCATCGTCGGCCTGTTGCCCCAAAGGCCAGAGAGCCCAGAATCGAACCGATAAATCGGATCGGTGATCGAGTCGTATCGGATCGGCGGAGATCGGCAGCCGAGTCGGGAGAAGTCGAATCGGCAGACATCGCAGGCCAGCAGGCCTCCAATAAGAAATCGGGATCCAAATCGGAATCCCAAGTCGAATCGAATCGGAATCGGAGGCCATCAAAATCGAATCGACTCGGAGGAATCAAAATGAGCCCTGGATCCTCCCTTCTGGACCCTCTTCCTTCGTCCCCCTGTCCTAGTCCTCCCCTCCTGCTCATCGTCGGCCGGTTGCCCAAGACGCCCCCCAAGCGCAGGAGTCGCGCCCCGCCCCGCTGAGAGGGCGGAGGGCGGACAGGAAAGGCCACGAGAACGGCCGCTGGTAAAGTGCCCGCGAGGAGGAGGAGGAGGAGGAGGAGGAGGAGGAGGAGGAGGAGGAGGAGGAGGAGAAGGAGGAGGAGGAGGTCCTCCATCTCGCCATCGCTCGGATGTCCACTCTCCGTGCGCGTATTTTCTCACAGGGTGCCCCCCAAGGCTACTCCGTGGTCCTCGCCGAGAACAAAGCGCACACGTCAGAGCGATGCCAAGGCGTCGGGGGTCTCGGCAGCGGCAGCGGCGCCGTTCGCACTGCCTCTCGCGGGAATGCCTGCCTGCTCGTTTGGGGGGTGGATAAGAAAGAGGGGGGGAAACAGAGAGGGAGAAAGAGAGAGAGAGGGGGGGGGAAACAGAGAGGGAGAAAGAGAGGGAGAGAGAGAGAGAGAGCAAACAAAAACAAGAGAGGTACTGCGTAGCACCCTGCAGTTGAGGATTAAGAGTTAGGGGGCGGGCCAGGGGTGGGCCGCGGGGTGGGTCGCTGGTGGGTCGAGGGGTCGGTGGCGGATGGGTCGCGCGGGGGTCGCGGGCAAGAAGGACAACAATAACAACAGCAGTAACAACAGCAATAATCCGCCGGCCCCCTTGTGGGGCCACCAGGCTGCGAGGCACGGGTTCGCAGTTTCCAGTACCAGTTGTAGCTTGTAGTTTCCAGTGTTACAATTCTGCTTCTTGCTGGTTACCGTAACTAGTTGATTGACCGCGCGAGGGGGGGGAGGCCCAAGCAAGACTTTCCAGCGTCCCCTGGGCGCGTTGTCTGAATTACTGGGGGGGCTCGAAATCGACACCCCTCACGCAGATCCGCGGGGTCAGGGTCAAAAAAAAAAGAAGGATTTGCCACATTTCTGAAATTCGGTGCCACCCCTCACGCAGATCCGCGGGGTCAGGGTCCAAAAACACAGGGGATTTGCTACATTTCTGAAATTCGGTGCCACCCCTCACGCAGATCCGCGGGGTCAGGGTCCAAAAACACAGGGATTTGCCACATTTCTGAAATTCGGTGCCACCCCTCACGCAGATCCGCGGGGTCAGGGTCCAAAAACACAGGGGATTTGCCACATTTCTGAAATTCGGTGCCACCCCTCACGCACATCCGCGGGGTCAGGGTCCAAAAACACAGGGGATTTGCCACATTTCTGAAATTCGGTGCCACCCCTCACGCAGATCCGCGGGGTCAGGGTCCAAAAACACACGGGATTTGCCACATTTCTGAAATTCGGTGCCACCCCTCACGCAGATCCGCGGGGTCAGGGTCCAAAAACACAGGGGATTTGCCACATTTCTGAAATTCGGTGCCACCCCTCACGCAGATCCGCGGGGTCAGGGTCCAAAAACACACGGGATTTGCCACATTTCTGAAATTCGGTGCCACCCCTCACGCACATCCATCGCAAGGCGTGGTAACCCAAACTGCGAGTACTCCCTCGGCCCTTTAATCCCAAGGTGTGGTAACCAAGCTCGTAAACCATACACGTCTTACCAATCGCCCTGTGTGGTAACCCCTCTTGTGATCAGTTGGTTTTGCCGATTGCGAATCGGCCTCGCATGAAGTTCCGATACTGCTGCACGACAGCGCCAAAGCCTCATGACTTAGCTCTTCCATGGCCCATTCTCCGAGAGAGGGGGCCGGCGGCAGGGGGCGAAGCCCTTACGGATCATTTTAAGACTGTTCGCTCTTACATGCTCGCGTCTCATTCAACGTCTATCCCGAACCCTCGATATCTGCCATCTTCGTCTTCGGTCGTACCCCCTTGGGTCGATGTTTTCCTAATCCGCCACGAATAATTGGTGCAGCCCCTAAAACCAAGGAGAAGAGAACGGATAGAAGGGGGAGGGAGAAAGATGGAGCACGGGAGAGGTTAGCAACATGGGAGTTTAGGGGCAAAACGCATGGGGCAAAACCGAACGGTCTGATTGGGCGGGTAGTCCCTGATGGGCGGGTCGGAAGGCGGGCCTAGGCGGCCAGGTCGAGCAGGCGGGTTGCTGAAGCGTGAGTCCTGCATGAATCGCGTGGAAGTCTCGAGCAATAGCGCATTTTTCAAGTAAATCGTGAGAACAGCCAGAAAGAGAGAGGGAGAGAGAGAGAGGGAGAGAGAGAGAGAGAGAGAGAGCGCGATTCCAGAGCGTCGAGGGCGCGGCGTTTGAATAAGTTGCGAGAAAGTCCCACGCGAGAGCGCAATTCATGCACAAGTTGTGAGGAAACTCAGCGCGAGAACGCGATGTTGGAACACATTGTGAGGCCAAAGGTGGCGGGAACGCTGTTGTTGTAAACCGGTGGCCATGGGTGTAGTTTGGTGACCACTAACTCTCTCCGATCAGAAACAGGTTGCGAGCCCGGGGAGGAGCACATTAACTGAAAAACGCCATGGTCACCTGAGGGGGGTGACCAACAATACATATTCTTTCCAAGTGAGAAGTCAACAAGATTTCTGGCTTTTGAATCCCACGTCAGCCACGCACCCAGGGACAATGAATGAGTGTGCGCCCCCTCAGTCTGATATGTCTATATATATATATATGCACAGAGAAATGTGCGTGTGCACAAGCGCGTATGTATACTTGTGACCGTACCATGCATCTAGGATAGTACATGTACGCATACGCATGCATCATTACCCATACAGGCAAAGAGCCAGAACGAGGAAGAGAGCGAGAGAGAGAGGGAGAGAGGGACAGAGAGAGAGAGAGAGCTAGATGGACAGAGAGAGATGGAACACGCGGTACACACATGTACATATATATATATATACATCGCTGGAGGGGTATATATATATATATAGAGAGAGAGAGAGAGAGAAAAAAAAAAAAGAGCGCCAGAGAGAACGAGAGTACAGAGGGAGAGAGAGAGAGAGATAACGAGACAGAGAGAGAGAGATACCGAGAGATAGAGAGAGAGAGGGGGATACACAACCGATCGAGCACCATTAGCATCAATATGACATGGGCACGCGTGCAGCGAACTATACATATATATATATATATATATACAACTCAAAAGGTCGCATCACTATTTATAGATAGCAAGAGAACCGCGAGAGGTATGCATGTATACAAGGTGGGAAGAGAGAGAGAGAGAGAGAGAGAGAGAGAAAAAAAAAAAAAGAAAGAGAGAGAGAGAGAGACATAGAAAACGATGTACATGCATACGTACAGGTATCGGGGGATAGTGAAAGAGAAAGAGATGTAGAGAGAACAAGAGGAAGAGTGATAAAGAGAGAGAGAGAGAGAGAGAAAGAAAGAAAGAGAGAGGAAGAGAGAGAAAAAGAGAACCTAGGCGCAGTGCGACCTCGCTGGGCATGATGCTCAAACGCAGAAACCGCCTGCGCTGCCCGCGACCACCTGACAACCAAAGATATTCAAACCCAGTCTATTTTCAGCTGCGGTGTCTCCCCCGCGGCCTTGGAAGGGGCGTCGTCAACTATGTAGTAAGTGAGCAACTTGGTGAGGTTGCCAGAATTGTTGACGGCGGCATCCTTAGGGGAAGTAACTACAAGTCCGCAGGCAACCGGCAATTTATTCGCGCTGGCAGCACGCTAACATCACACCACAACGCGCTGTCATATCACTTCCAATAACGTACGCGGGCATGGAAACTCCACCTTGGTCCTTGGCGGGGTCTCGCGGACCCCGCCAGATTCTCAGGCATTCTCTCTCACAAGGCCGCGATGCCGTCAATGCCCGATATTCCCTGGGACATGAAGAAAAGGTGGATGAATACGAGGGTGAACATGGTGACGATGATGACGGTGACGACGGACGAAGCGGATATGACGATGCTTGAAAAACGGGATGGCGACCTGGTGGCGGTATGACCACGAATATGAGAGTAAACACAAATAGTATGATGATAGTGATGCTGGCGCTGATGTTGATGCTGGTGACGGCGATACGCATCTGTATGGTGAACACGAATGCGCTTCGGGCACACAACGCCCATTTCACCCACGGCCCCACGCTGACATCAGGCGGCGCCCCCCCGACAACAACAACGGCCACGCGCGCCGTGAGGACGCACGCCGGGCGCACACCCGTCCGGAGGCGCCCAGAGAACTTACCCAGCAGGACCGCGGTCCCAAAAAACCCGAAACCACAACACCGGCGGGCACAAGGCTCCAGTGGCTCTGAAGAGGCCGCAAGACGGGGAGTCCGAATTCACGCGTCGGGCCCCTCCTGCAGAAATGTCCTCTGAGACTGCCAGAAGGCCCCCAATAGGTTCCGAAGAGCCCCGCTAATACCCCCCGCCCCAAGAGATCACGAAGCCCAGTAAGCACTCCCAAGATGCCCCACGAGGCTCCACACATGTTCCTGCGACCACGCAGGCACATTCCAATACTGCTACGATTTGGATTTATCTGACATGTGCGATGAACCATCCAGCACTAAGAAATCCACCGACCCCTTGTGGGTCTCTAGGCGTGTGAGATTCCCCCCCCCCGAATCCCCCCCCGCAGGGGCCCCAAACCGGCAATTTAGCCTCCTCCCGGGCCGAGCGCGACCCGGCACCGAACGCGTCACGGGGGAGCGGAAGGCTCCAAAAATTGAGAAAAATACCAAAACGGTCACCAGACGGTCCCAGGGGGCCACGATTCGCCGACGTATCGCCCCTGAGCGCCCACGATGGCCTCCAAGCGGCCTCCGAAGCCGCCAAGACGCCCCAAAAGGCCCCCAAGATGCACCCCAAGAAACAGCAATCGCCCCATCCCCTTCGGAAGAAAAAAACAAACAAACATTGTTCGCACGCTCGCCTATTCGGTATTCACAGCGTCCACAACGGGCACAAACGCCTTCAATATCGCCCCCAGACGGCCAAAGGGGCCCCCAAGAAGGGTCGAAGAGTGCCCAACAACAGCCCACGAAACCCCCAAGACAGCCCAAGAGGGCCCCCAGACGGCTCCAAGACGGAGTCCAACTTTTCAAGCCTTCGGCCCCAAGACGCCCCCAGCCTGCTCCAACAACACTCCGAAAGGCCATGAAGGGCCTCCAAGAAAACCTCAGAGGCCTCCACGAAGCCCCAAGGAAGTTCCCAAGAAACTCCAAAACTACATGCAAGAACACCCCGTCAGGCCTCCCACGAGATCCCATCAACCATCCGTGTGGCCGCACACCCGCAACCCAAGCAAGGTAGCGGGATGCGCCGCGTGCCATTCGAGAGCCGCTCGTCTAGTTTTGGACCGACGCCTGCCGTCTATGAGCGCGGGTGTTCGCAAGTATTTCCCCACGCCTGCATGGCGAACAGTTCGAGATGCAGCCGCGAAAAAGCGCACTGACCACGCAGTATCCCTCCACCATCTGACATTGCACCCGCCTCCAGAGCGCTCCGAAGAGACCTCGCGAAGCACCCTTGAGATTCTGACACCCTACCAAGCCGGCTTGGGCCGACGGCCGTCACAAATTGCACGGTCCAGACACCTGTACAGGGTCTCGAAATCCAGGGTGAGGCACACGCTGTCCGAAGTGTCGGACATCTTTCCGAAAAGGCCACCAGAGACAGGAGTACACGCCTCCAAACCAAATCGTCACTCCTCCTCCTCCTACTCCTCCTCTTCCTCCTCCTCTTCTCCTCCTCCTCTTCCTCCTCCTCCTCCCCCTCCTCCGCCTCCTCCTCCTCCTCCTCCTCCTCCTCCTCCTCTCTCCTCCTCCTCCTCCTCCTCCTCCTCCGACCCCCCATATCCCCCCCCCCCCCAGGGACCCCAAACCGGCAATTCAGCCCCCCACCCCCGAGCCGAGCGCGACCCTGGACCGAACGCGCCACGGGAGAGCGGAGGGCTTCAAAACTGGCCAAGAAAGCACCAACACGCTCCCCAGACGGTCCCAGGGGGCCACGATTCGCCGAAATATCGCCCCTGGGCGCCCACGATGGCCTCCAAGCGGCATCCGAAGCTGCCAAGACGCCCCAAAAGGCCCCCAAGATGCGCCCCAAGAGGGCCCCAAGAAACAGAAAACATCCCATCCCCTTCGAAAAAAAAATACCCTGGCGACGTACCCAACCCCTGCGCAAACGCGGGGTGCAAATAGTTTAGGATACTTTATAAGGGGGGCGATGACGGAGCGAGGGTTACATATGTCTGCAGACGAAATTCGGGAGACTCGCAGGACATTGGCTACAGGACAAGGGCTATGTCTGCAGAGCACTCCTAACCACTTCGAAAACGGGGATCACAGTTCGCAGCCCTCCAGGGATGGCGAGGTCTAATTTGGGTCCGCCCGTGGCGTCACAGTGCTGGGCCCCCCAGCAGGCCGCAAAAGTGGCGACAGTTTCACAGATCGCAGCCCCCCAGGGATTGCGAGGTCTAATTAGGGTCAGCGCGTGGCGCCACTGTTCTGGGCCCCCCAGCAGGCCTCGAAAGTGGCGACAGTTTCACAGATCGCAGCCCCCCCCAGAGATGGCGAGGTCTAATTTGAATCCGCGCGTCGCCCTCACTGTGCTGGGCCCCCCAGCAGGCCTCGAACATGGCGACAATTTCACAGATCGCAGCCCCCCGCAGGGATGGCGAGGTCTAATTTGAATCCGCGCGTCGCCCTCACTGTGCTGGGCCCCCCAGCAGGCCTCGAACATGGAGACAGTTTCACAGATCGCAGCCCCCCAGGATGGCGAGGTCTAATTTGAATCTGCGCGTCGCCCTCACTGTGCTGGGCCCCCCAGCAGGCCTCGAAAATGGCGACAGTTTCACAGATCGCAGCCCCCCAGGGATGGCGAGGTCTAATTTGAATCCGCGCGTCGCCCTCACTGTGCTGGGCCCCCCAGCAGGCCTCGAAAATGGCGACAGTTTCACAGATCGCAGCCCCCCAGGGATGGCGAGGTCTAATTTGAATCTGCGCGTGCCCTCACTGTGCTGGGCCCCCCAGCAGGCCTCGAAAATGGCGACAGTTTCACAGATCGCAGCCCCCCCAGGGATGGCGAGGTCTAATTTGAATCTGCGCGGGGCCCTCACTTGCTGGGCCCCCCAGCAGGCCTCGAAAATGGCGACAGTTTCACAGATCGCAGCCCCCCAGGGATGGCGAGGTCTAATTTGAATCCGCGCGTGGCCCTCACTGTGCTGGGCCCCCCAGCAGGCCTCGAAAATGGCGACAGTTTCACAGATCGCAGCCCCCCAGGGATGGCGAGGTCTAATTTGAATCTGCGCGTCGCCCTCACTGTGCTGGGCCCCCCAGCAAAAATGGCGACAGTTTCACAGATCGCAGCCCCCCGCAGGCAAGACAGGAAGAGGCAGGGAGGGAGGGAGGGAGGAGGAGGAGGAAGGAGTGGAGACCACACTGCTCTATTCAAAACGAATACCCAACCAAGGAGGCTTGGGAAAAACAAGCATTGTTCGCATGCTCGCCTATTCGGTTTTCGCAACGTCCACAGCGGGCACAGAAGCCTTCAATATCGCTCCCAGGCGGCCAAAGGGGTCCCAAAGAAGGGTCGAAGAGGGCCCGACAGCAGTCCACGAAGCCCCCAAGACAGCCCAAGAGGGCCCCCAGACGGCTCCAAGACGGAGTCCAGAGGGCACCTTTTCGAGCCGTCGGCCCCAAGACGCCCCCAGCCTGCCCCAACAACAGCCCACGAGGCCCTGAGGGACCCCCAAGAGAACCTGAAAACCCTCCAAGAACCCCCCAGGAAGCCCCCAAGAGGTCCCAAAACTTGGCCCAAGATGCCTCGAGGCGGGCGGATATGGCCTGCAGACATGCCAAGATGCCACCAAAAGGCAACAAAAGAGCAACAAGAGGTGCGATAACAACGACGCAACAAGAACGATGTCGAGCGCCGTGTCATGATTCGGACAAGCCTCGTGAAATGCAGTCCCGGAGGCGCAACAGTTTATATAGTGGGTCGGCGGGTGTGGCGTTAGCCTATGAAATATTGGGGCACATTCTTGAATCATTTGTTGGGGGACTACTTCACTGGCTATGGAATGCAAGCGCGATGTAAGACGCTGGCGGCAAATCTAAGACAAGATGATGATACTGCTTTGGGCTCTCGGGAGATCAATTTCTGCTCACGCCTCCCAAGGGGGTGTGCTCCAGGCCAACGCCCGGCACACTCCCGAGACAGAACCGAGCCAACCGCAAGCCAATGGAAGTAGATATCAAGCTCATCGTGCCAAAGAGTTCCGAGCCTCTCGGGGCTCGAAACCCACCAACGCATTGAATCGCAGAACCTTGCCACGAACCGAGGACTTAGTGAGAAGATCTGATCTCATCCTGTCTGTGTGCTCCTTCCTACAAGGCACCTTGAAACGGTCCATCGCTTGCTGTGCTTAACTGTGCTGATGTGATTGGTTTTGCCAAGCCCGCGCCGCGAGACCATGCCGATGGCGGCGGCCGCGTCGACGTTCACGATGCGCTTGCACAGGAAACTCCAACGTTGAACTAAAGTTCGCAATCCGCCAAACTCGCGCATGAGCGCCACTAAGCTGTAGCCCCCAACCTCGCCACTACTGTGAACGATGACGGACTGACCACAGCACCAACGGTGCAAAGTGCAGGCCGGCCATGATCCCCCCTCCTGACGTTCTTTTCTGCGTTCTCAGACTGCCTGCGAGGTCTGAGTCGCACCAGCCGTCTAACCATGCGGTTGCCTCCTGACTCTTGAAGTGCCGCGCCATTCTCGGGGGTACGTCGAAGATAGCACGCAGCATGCTTCAGTAGCGCCACGTGGCGCTCCCTCGGAGCCTGCATACGTGTTGCAATTTCGCGGACAGCCACGCCTAGGTCATGGCGGTCCTGCGCGGTGTAGACCAGTCTCATGCAGACCGACTGGCGTGTTCGTGTTTTAGGTTCGTGTTCGTAAACGGCGGCGTCCCTCGACAACGGCGTCGAGCCGACCACGGATCCCAGGCGTAATGTCCTTGGTTAGTTGAACCTGAAGCCAATCTTAATTCGCGAATCGCGACGCTGACGTGATGACGTGGGTCGCACTCCCACTCGATCCCCTCCGTCCTCCAGGAGCCGCTTAAGAGTGCGACTGCTCCGTGCCGTGTCTGGCTCGCCGAGCGAGGCGAAGATGCCCTGGGACTTGCCGGCCCACTCCTAAGCTCCATGACCAGGCAATCAACGTCGACCCTGGCGGTCAAGCTCACGAAGCTGTCGACGTGGAGCGTCGCCCTACTGCCCCTAACCAGGCGCCAGAGGATGCGCGGGGAGCTCGGGCCCTGGCGAAATCCCAGGGACTCCATCTTGGCTGTCACCAGCTTCTCCCAAAGAGGCGCGGCACCCCGCATCCCATACATGGAACGAGGCAGCTTGCCCACCCTGTCCCCTGTGATCCCGCGCGCTCGCTTGCAGTCCTCAAGCAGCTCTACAGACGGCAGCCGCTCGGCCACCGCCCAGAAGCGCGCCTTTTTGACGCCGCACAACTGCGGCACGCGCCACCCCTTCTTTGTTCGCACCACCTCCGCCCCAGGCACGGCGGAAGTGGCTGCGATGCTGAGAGGGTTCTTACGATCATCAGGGATCGCCGCGAAACATTGCCTCTCAACGCTCCTTCTCCGAACCTGATGTTCGACCTCGTCGCCCTTGTTTACGTCGACCAGTCGCGTGCCGATCACCTGGTGTCTGGTTGGTCCGGGCCTCAATCCCACAGCAACAACAACAACAACAACAACAACAACAGCAACAGCAACAGCAACAGCAACAGCAACAACAACAGCAACAGCAACACCAACAACAACAATAATGTAAAGACTGTTCGCCCTTATATGCTCGAGTGTCCAATAACGCGTATTTCCCAAATCCTCGATACCTGCTGTCTTCGTTTTCGATCGAACCCCTTTTTGGGGGTATACCTTTCTTCCCTGCAGGCCGGGTTCCGGCAAGCGACGGGGCGGCCGCGGACCGTCGGCCTGGCCAGCGGCAGCGCTGATCGGCGGGGCGGCCGCGGACCGTCGACCCGACCCCAAGAGGGACGGACAGGGGACCGACCACGACGACGACGACGACGACGACGACGACGACGACGACGACGTCGAAGACGACGGCGACGACGACGGCGAAGACGAGCGAAAGCGAGAGCGAGAGAGAACGACAGCAGGGCCACGAAGGGCACGAAGTAGGCCACGAATGGCGACAGCGGGGACACGAAGGGAATGCGTATGGGGCCACGAAGAGCACGAACGAGCGGGGGCCACGAAGTGCAGATAATGCGGGGCCACAGAAGGCAACTATGGGGCCACTGAGGGTAGCAACTGGGCCACGTAGGACAGTGAGGGAGACACAAATGGCGACAGCGGGGCCACGAAGGGCATGCACATGGGGCCACAACGAGCGCGACTCCTGGGTGCCTGGGTGTCTGGAGCGCGGCGCTTGGGCAAATTGCAAGAAATTCCAACGCAAAGCAATTCTTCAGTAAGTTGCAAGCAAGTCTCCAGCGAGAGCGCGACTCCAGAGCGCCGGGAGAGCGATTCCTGAATCGATTGTAAGGAAGTCCCAAGCGAGAGCGCGATTCCTGAATAAAATGCGAGGAAGTCTTGGGCGGGAGCGGGGGTCCTGGCTAAATTGTAAGGAAGTCTCAAGCGAGAGCCGTTGTTGTTGTAACCCGGGGGCCAGGGGCCCAGTTTGCGCATCAAGACTTCCCCTGTCAAAAAAACAGGGTGCGAGCGTCGAGGGGCACACTTTGATAGAGGAAGAACAATATGCACCGGTGGGGGTATCAACAATAATTATTCTTCAGAAATGAGAATTCAACAACAACAACAACAACAACAACAGCAACAACAACAACAACAACAACAACAACAACAACAACAACAACAACAACAACACCAACAACAACAACAACAACAACAACCACAACCACAACCACAACCACAACCACAACCACAACCACAACCACAACCACAACAACAACCACAACAACAACAACAACAACAACAACAACAACAACAACAACAACAACAACAACAACAACGCAACGCAGCGCAGCGCAACGCAACGCAAACGCAACGCAACGCAACGCAACGCAACAACAATACGCATCGCGGAACCCCACTTCAGCCACGCACCCAGAGACAGTGAACGACCCTTCGGCCCCCTCACTCTGATGTCTGGAACCCTTGCAAACGCTATGCGATGCAAGTGCGACGCAAGACACTGGCAGCATGTCCAGACCAACATGATGCTGCTGCATTGGGCTGTCGGGAGGTCCATTTCTGTTCAACTATCGGTCGATCTTTCTCGATCCTCGGATACCCCAGAGCTTGCGAAATTAGGTGCCTTGGGCCATCGGGGGATGAGAGACTTCCGCTCCTGCTTGAAAGCCGATCTCGCGTTCGGTACGCCTACTATGAGAACATCGGCTGGCACTATGAGAGGGGTCTCTCTTGCGAGAAACATCTCAATCCAGTGGGGGCCGAGTCTTCTTGAGCGATGCGTGTTATCGGCGATGGGGGTGCGCGTTTAAGTCGACGTGCTCTCGCCTACTGTGAGGCTCGTCCGAATGGCAGCGTCCTCCTCTTCTCCCTGGGTTGATTGCAAGAGCGGGAAGATGAGACGAACAATCAGGCTAACCTCGCTTGCTGGGGGCGTCAGGGCGTGTGAGACGTCTGGCAGCGGCTCCAGAGTGTCCCACTGGGCTCTAACAGCATACAAGTATGATCAAATACTGCTCCAAATAGCCCAAGATGGCCTCCAAGAACACTTGGCCGCGATGACCTCTGATCTGACATATCTCAATGTAGCCCTGAAATTGCCCAAGAGGACTTTCAGGAATCCGACCACTGGCCCAGCAGTGGCCCGACACGGCGCAGGAGGTTGACAGATTGCCCTCGGACTCTCAGGGTCCAAGGGAGGCACCATCAAGTGCCAAGAGGAGAGCCCACGAGGGCGCCAAGAAAGGTCCAATCGTGCCGCGATGCTATCGAAGAAAAAGAGGGGCCCCAGAGATTGAAGGGGCCCAAAGACACACACACACACACACACACATAAATACACACAACTAAAACGATCCCCCATATTTTCCCATATTTTCTGGGTTTTTGTCTTCCCCACCACTTCCCATATTTTCCCATATTTTCCTGGGAGTCGCCGATTAATTGTGTCTGTGTGTTTCTTTTCCGACCCAGAGATGCCACGGGCCCCCCCCCCCGAAGGAGGGCCCGAATGACCCGCAGACGCCCTGACGCACGCGCGGCGAGGCCCCTGCCCCACCCGAGCCTTCGCGCTGCCGAAGAGGCGCTCTGCTCTGGAGACCCGTGTGCTTGCTTTCTGGTTTCCCCCTCCCCCCCTCTCCTCCCCCATCCTCTCCCCTCCTCCTCTCCTCCTCTCCTCTCCTCTCCTCTCCTCCTCCCTCATCTCCCCCCCCCCTCCCCCCTCCTCCTCTCCATCTCTCCTCTCCTCCCTCCTCCTCCCCCCTCCTCTCCCTCTCCTCTCCTCCCTCTCCTACCCCCTCCTCCCCCTCACTCCCCCCCTCCTCTCCTCCCTCCCTCTCCTCCTCCTCCTCTCCTCCTCTCCCCCCCCCCTCTCCTCCCCTCCTCTCCCCTCCTCCTCTCCTCCTCTCCTCTCCTCCTCTCCTCCTCTCCTCCTACCTCCTCCCCCTCCTCCTCCTCTCCTCCTCCTTGCGTCCTTGCGTTCCGCCACGGGGCCCGCTTGCGCTTGTAAAAAAAGAGTGCGCTCGCTTTCTGGTGGTACTGGCAGCACCAGCTGGTGACCACGGCTGGCCATCCCACGCCCATGCGCCCCTCCTGACGCGGACCTCCAACACTACCCCTCCTGTCGGGTCGGGCGAAAGGGGGGGATAGCAAAGGGGGGGTTTGAGAATCAGCTCGCGTAGCTGATTTTCCCAGCGCCTCCCGGCGCCGGAGGCGGCCATGTATCGAGGAATGGGCCCCTCGGTGAGGCCGAAACCAGCTGCATGCAGCAAATTTCGTAACCCCCCCTTTCCCAATCCCCCCCTTTCGCCCGGCCCGATCCTGGTGCTCATCCCCATCCCCCTCCTCGTCCACATGGCGGGTTCGGGAAAACCTTGGCCTGTAATGGTTGGCAGATCTCTCTGGGCGCCACGTTTGCTTCCGCCGGCTTCCGCTGGCCTTCCGCCAGCGGAGGCGCCCTCGCTTGTCTTTCGCCAGCTTCCGCCGAGGAAGAAATGTCCACCTGTCAGCTCCTCGAAGACGAGGCCGATTCTGGATCGCCTCAAATGATCTTGGGGTTCTCTCTATTGTTCCTGCTGCTGCTCCTCCTCCTACACCTTGCCCTTCGCGTCACCACAAGTCTCCTTCTCGGGGTCGGCGGAATGGCGCAAGGCTCTGAGATTAAAGCGCCCGAGCACCGAAACATGCACGAATGAGTTGCAAGAGACCTGAACGAGAGGTGCCTGCCCTGTGATGACATAATGCGGCTGACAGAGAACGTCTTTGCTGCGGATTCCTCGTTCATCTTCTCCATGAATTTCAGCGGTATCCCGACCTTCGTGTTCCAAGCACGCCTGGGAAGCAGCATAGCAAGTCTGACATACAAGCTGGTCGCGATCAGCAATGCCCATTGAGATATCACACTTGTTCGCATCAATACGTCGACCATCCCTATTGAGATTGTCATCCTCCTGCTTCTCATCTTTCTCCTTCTTCGGATATCCATTATGATGTCCCCAGCACGCCCACTGCATGCGATACCTGTGGCGACAGCGCTGCGTGCAAACCGCTAGCAAAAACAATGCCGCATGGATAATGAAGTGCACCGGCGGGGTGGGGGCGGGCGAAACACGGGCGCCCTGCTGCCCAGGGCTACACACTCGAGTTCGACGAGGATGACGAGGATAAGGAGGAGGACGAGGAGGAGGAACAGGCTCAGGACGTGAAGGCGGAGTACTACAATCATCGAGCGACGGGCGCCGCAGCGTAGCTTCGGCCGAAACCAGCCAGGCGGGTCGCGCCACGAAGTTACCCGCTCCGCCGGCGGAACATCTCTCTGCATCGGTCATCCTCCACCTCCTCCTCCTCCTCCTCCTCCTCCTCCTCCTCCTCCTCCTCCTCCTCCTCCTCCTCCTCCTCCTCCTCCTCTCCTCCTCCCCCCCCCCCTCCTCCTCCTCCTCCTCCTCCTCCTCCTCCTCCTCCTCCTCCTCCTCCTTCCTGCCTCCTCCTCCTCCTCCTCCTCCTCCTCCTCCTCCTCCTCCTCGGAGTACCCTCCGACCCCCGTCGCGAGCGGCGGGCGGTGCAGAGGCCCCCTGCCTCGCCGTGACCAGGGGGTCCTCGTCGTGCTGGCGGCTGCATGAGGGGAAGCCCATGCTGCCGTCCAGCCACGTTACCATGCAGACGTCCTGGGCGAGAAAGAGAGAGAGAGAGAGGGAGGAGCCCTTGCGGTTTCAACCCGTGTAGCAAGGACGCGCGATGAGGATGCAAGAGCCTTGGGAGGCCACGAGCGGGGCGCGGCCACCGAAAGTGGGCAAGGATGAGCCGAAGACAGGGATGCAAGGGTCTCCTTGGGAAGGTCGGCTGGGAGACGGGTCCTGTGATATCAAATTGTTCGGGGGGGGGGGCGTCGCAGATTTTCTGGGGGCGGCTTCTTGCCGCGGCGCTGCGCCGCAGTGTGCTGTGATACGCTGTGTGCAGCGTGCAGCGTACAGCACGCAGCGTGCAGCGTATGGCCTGGAGCGCGGGGCATGCAGCGTGCGGCGCGCCGCGCGTCGCGCGCAGCGTGCCGCGTGCCGAGTGGATCGTGCGGCGCGGGGCGTGGAGCCCGCGCAGCGAGCGGCGTGCCGCGTGCAGCGCGCAGCATGCCGCGTGGAGCGCGCGGCTTCCGGATGACTTGACGGGCTCGATTTTCGCGGGAGGGAGCTTCTCGATGAGTTGACGGCCTTGGGGCCGAAGCTGGGCGTCGCGCGCAGCGTGCCGCGTGCCGAGTGGATCGTGCGGCGCGGGTCTTGGAGCCCGCGCAGCGAGCGGTGCGGGCAATAGTTATATCCACATCCAGTGCGCCTTGGATTCTGGGGCTCTCTTCCCCGGAAGCCGTAGGCGCAATGGATCTGGATAAAAGTCTGGCCCCAAGAGGCTGGATTTTATCCATATCCAGTTCGCCTCGGCGTTGCGGCACCTCTTCCCAAAAAGTCCACGACGCTCTGGATATGGATATAAGTACTGCCCGCAAGCGGCGTGCCGCGTGCAGCGCGCAGCATGCAGCGTGGAGCGCGCGGCGTGGAGCGTGGAGCATGGAACGTGCGGCGTGCAAGAGTGTTTCCAGATGACTTGACGGGCTCGATTTTCGCGGGAGGGAGCTTCTCGATGAGTTGACGGCCTCGGGGCCGAAGCTGGGCGGGAGCTGAGCGGGAGCTGCATTGGGCAATTCGGACCCCTGAGGGTCCGAATTTGCCGCTAGCGGGGGCCAGGAGCTGGGCGGGAGCTGCATCGGGCAATTCGGACCCCAGAGGGTCCGAATTTGCAGACAGCGGGGCCAGGAGCTGGGCGGGAGCATGAGCGGGAGCTGAGCGGGAGCTGCATTGGGCAACTCGGACTCCAGGCGTCCGAATTTGCAGCTAGCGGGGGCCGGGAGCTGGGCGGGAGCGTGGGCGGGAGCATGAGCGGGAGCTGCATCGGGCAATTCGGACCTCAGGGTCCGAATTTGTAGCTGGCGGGGGGCCAGGAGCTGGGCGGGAGCTGCATTCGGCAATTCGGACCCCTGAGGGTCCGAATTTGCAGCTAGCAGGGGCCGGAAGCTGGGCGGGAGCTGCATCGGGCAAATCGGACCCCTGGAAGTCCGAACCTCTAAGCGCTTCTGCGTCTGTTTGTGATTGCGGTGTGCTTTGCGTCAGCACTCAGAAGCACGCCCCGGTAGAGAGAGAGAGAGAGAGAGAGGAGGAGAGAGATAATTAATGTGCCCTTTTGTTTGGAAAAACAAAAACAAACACCAGAGAACAAGGGAGAGCCAAGATCATAGGACCGGTTTCCCGCCGAAGGTCGCCTATTCTTACTAGGCGGGTTGACGGTATTGCGCATTCGGCGGAGTGGCCAGGAGCCCTGGAACTTCTCTAGACAAGCGCTTTCTACTCGCAAAATAACTGCTCGTAAATGGCCTGGCTCCGCCGGGGAGGATTTACGACCCATTAACATCGAGGCGAACATGTTTTTGTTCAGACGCTTGCGAACAGGTACTTTGCGAGTAGTGGAACGCGCTTGGTGTTTCTCTGAATCCAAAGATCAAAAGACGACACGAACGCAACCGACAACAGCACAGCAGCTTGCAGTGCCTAGCTGGCCGTTCGACTGCAACCGATGTAAACGCGTGGGTCCGAGAGGCTGGGATTTGCCATATCCACCGCGTCGGAAGCCGCCCTTGCTGGACCTCGGGCGGAGGAGGAGGAGGAGGAGGAGGAGGAGGAGGAGGAGGAGGAGAAGGAGGAAGATGAGGAGGAGGAGGAAGGAGGAGGAGTGAGGAGTAGGAGGGAGGGAGGAGGAGGAGGAGGCGGTGGATATGGACACATGCGGGCCCACCTGGGGCCCAATTATGACAATATGCACCGCCTCCTGGGGTCTGTCAGGACAGCAGCTACCCGGGCGGTGTATGTGGACAACTCCCCGCATCGCGGTGGGAAGAAGAGGGAGCAAGAAGGGAAGGGTGGGAGTAGAAGCAAGTGAAGGCGAACAGGGAAGGATTGATGAAGAAGGTATGAAGTGGGGCATCGGGAGATGCTGCCTCTGGTCTGCCATGCCATGCGTCGCATACTACCTCAAAAAGAGTGGCACGGCTCGTCTCGCGTACTCCGTCTCGCTTGAGCGACGGCTCGCTCGTGTCCAACAATTGCGCCATGTTTGCCTTGCTTTGGCTTGAGATAAATCAGACAGGCTACCGCTGCGGGAAATGCCGCCCCTTTGGAACGAGAGGGCGTGTTGCAGCGCCCGCTGTCTGCGCCGAACTTGGCATGCAGTCTTCTGGGGGCGACCGCCCTCTCAGCGACCTCGCGCGAGAGCTCGCCCCCATACATGCTTCTTCCTGGCGCTCTCGTAGGCACAACGAGACGGCCCAAAAGCGCTGAGGGAGCCCTCAAGCAAGGCCGCGTGGCACTAAAGATAGCGGATGAACAGCTGATGCGACAGACAAGGTTCCACCGCATGCGCACTGATAGGACTCCGCATTCCCCCCCCTGTCCTCGTCCGACATCCCGATTGCCTCCACCGCCAGTCTCTTTCAACATAGAGAGAAGCCCGTCTTGAGGGAAACCGGTCCTGAGGGAAACTGGTCCTGGACCCAAGGGGATTTCCCCAGTCCGCACCGTTGTCTGACGGTCCTAAGGCCCGGAGAGCCCTGGGAGCCCGAACGCGGCGAAGAACTTCCAAGACCCGTCTGCCCCTTGGAACAATCGCCGTAAGGGACGCTGCACATGTAATGAAGGGCCTGCTCTGGTCAGGGCGGGCCTCGGCCAGGAAGAAGTTCCCTTGACCTGGACCTAAAGGGAGGACTGGAAACCAGAGCCCCTCCTCAAGACTCAAGACTCGCGCTCTGGGCCGAAGCTTCTTTCGCTAGTCACGAAAATTGCCTCAATGCTCCGCCTGACCGGCTCGCCCCCTGACCCGCCTATTAGGGTCCGCCCGCTCGCCTGCTTAGAAACCCGCCCGTTGCTTCAGTGTCCCGCCCGACGCACCCGCCAGGGCCCGCCGGCCCGACCCCCGACCCGCTCGCGAGGGTCCGCTTGCCCGACCCACTCGCTGAGCTCCGCCCGCTCCGCCTGCCCGTCAGGGTCCGGCCTCCCGCGTGCTTTGAGGCCGGACCGCCCACTTTGAGGCGCCGCCCGCCCGACACGTCCGTAGGGCCCGCCCGCCCGACGCTCCCGTCAGGGCCCGCCCACCCGTCCGTTGGCCAGAATATTGTTCCTCCCTCCGCTCCCTCCTGCCGAGTAGTTCTCCCCCCCTAATCAGACTCCCTTCTTCTTAGCCCCCTCCCGTGACAATTCCAGCCTTCCGCCCAAAGAGGCGCCCATGAGATCCCAAGAGGCCTCCCCGGAGCTCCAAGAGCCCCCAAAGAGGCCTCCAAGAGGCCGCCAGAAAGCCCCCAAGAGGCCTCGTAACTGCCTCCAACAAGCCCCCGAGAGGGCTCCCACGATATCCCAACGATTCTCCTCCTCCTCCTCCTCCTCATCATCAGCAGCATCATCAGCATCATCAGCATCACCATCATCATCAGCATCATCACCATCATCAGCATCATCATCATCCCCATCATCATCACCATCAACAATAACACCATCAACAGCAACAGCAGCAGCATCAGCACCAGCATCAATATCAACATCATCGGCATCATCAGCGTTTTCGGCGTCATTACCACCACCACCATCATCAGCAGCAGCAGCAGCAACAACATCATCGTCACAGTGAGCAACATAATTATCATCATCATTGTCCTAGGCATCATCACCAGCATCACCGTTATCATCATCACCAGCATCATCATCACCATCATCATCACCATCAGCCTAACCATATTCATCATCATAATAAGCGTCGACACACTCGCAATCATCATCATCATCATCAGCATCATCAACAACACCATCACCATCATCATCCATCATCATCATCGTTATACTCATCATAACTCTCACCACCACCCACCATCACAATCACCATTCATCATCATCCTCATCCTAATCCTCATCCTGAACCTCACCGGTCATTCTCATCGTCCTCATCACCCTCATCGTCCTATGCATCATCATCATAATCCTCGTCACCCTCATCGTCCTAGGTATCATCATCGTCATGATCATGATCATCATCATCATGATCATGATCATCATCATGATCATCATCATCATCATGATCATGATCATGATTATCATCATCATCATCGTCATCACCAGCACCAGCACCAGCACAGCACAAGCACCAGCACCAGCACCAGCACTACCATCATCATCATCATCATCATCATCACCATCATCACCATCACCTACATCATCCTCATCCTCATCCTCATCCTCATCCTCACCCTAATCATCATCATTCTCATCATCATCCTCATCCTCATCCTCATCCTCACCCTCGCTGGTCATTCTCATCGTCCTCATCAACCTCATCGTCCTAGGCATCATCATCATAATCCTCGTCACCCTCATCGTCCCAGGCATCACTATCATCATGATCAGTATCATCATCATGATCACCATCATCAACAACATCATCATCATCAACATCATCATCATTATCGTCATCACCAGCACCAGCACCAGCACCAGCATCAGCACAGCACAAGCACAATCACCAGCACCCGCACTACCATCATCATCATCATCATCATCATCATCATCATCATCATCATCATCATCATCAGCAGCAGCAGCAGCAGCAGCAGCATCAGCATCAGCATCAGCATCAACATCATCAGCAACAACAACATCATCATCGTTATCACGAGGCTCATCCCTCGCACTTACGGCATCCGGTGCCCCCGCGAAGGAGAGCCGCCGTGCACGCTGGGCTGGCACGGTGGCGGGACTTGCCGCAGGCAGCTGGACCCGCCGCCCCCCTGTCGATTCATCGCAGCGGTGCCTGGCGTGCGAGATGATTTCGGTTTTGGTATGGGTTCTTTCCCAGAAGAACTCTCCCTGGGGCTCCGGCGCGTCCCGCTGGGGTCCCGGGAAGGATCTCAAAACGCATCCGTCGGTGCCCTTGTTGTCCCAAGTTGGCCGTTGGCCCAAGATGGCCTGTTTCTTCACCTTTTCTGGCCTTCGCCTTCCTGGAGGCCCTCTTGGAGGCCTCTTGGGCCGTCTTGGGCCAGCTTCGAGCCAACTTCGGCCATCTTGGTGGGTTCCTGGCCCGTCTGACGCCGTCGGGAGCAGTCTTGGGGGCCCCTCTGAACCGGCTTAGGGCCATCTTCGGCCGTTTTGGTGGGCTCCTGGCCCGTCCGACGCCGTCGGAAGCCGTTTGGGGGGCCCCTCTGGGCCGACTTGGGGGCCCCTTGGAATGCTTCAGGGCCGTCTTGGAGGCCATCTTGGGCGTCTTGGAGGCCTCTTGGCCCGTCTTGGGGCCCTCTCGGGGCCGTCTTGGGGGCCTTTTGGGCCATCATAGGGCCATCTTGGAGGCCTCGTGTGTGCTCTGGGGGCAATCTTGGGGGCCTCTTGGCCCATCTTGGACAGCGGGAAGGCTCAAAATAAGCATGTGTCAAACGCATTGAAAAACCCATGGCGAATCAATGATTTTGGCCTCTTCGGGCTCTCCTGGGGAACCTCTTGGCACCCCCTTGGGCCATCTTGAGGCCATCTTGGAGCCATCTTGGCCCTTTTTTGAAGCTTCTTGGACGATTTAGAAGGCATCTTGGACCCTCTTGGGCCGTCGGTTTTGGAAGGATTTTGACATTTGCTTCTTTTCGGCCTTCCGACGGCCCGAGACGGCCCAAGAGCCCCCAAAGATCGCCCAAGAGTCCTCCAAGATGGCCCCAGAACGGCCCAAGAGGCCCCCAAGACGGCCCCAAGGGGCCCCCAAGACGGCCCAGGAGGCGCCCAAGATGGCCTCCAAGACGGCCCTGAAGCATTCCAAGGGGCCCCCAAGTCGGCCCAGAGGGGCCCTCCAAACGGCTTCCGACGGCGTCAGACGGGAAAGGAGCCCACCAAGACGGCCGCAGATGGCCGTAAGACGGCCCAAGAGGCCTCCAAGACAGAGGGCCTCCAGGAAGGCCTGACAAGGCCAAAATCATTGATTCCCCATGAGTTTAAAGGATTGTGGCATTTGCTTCGTTTCGGCCTTCCGACGGCCCGAGACGGCCCAAGTGCCCCCAAAGATCGCCCAAGAGGCCCACGACGGCCCCAAGAGGCCCCCAAGACGGCCCAAGAGGCCTCCAAGATGCTCAAGATAGCCTCCAAGACGGCCCAAGAGCCCTCCAAGACGTCCTCAAAGAAGGCCCGAAAGGGTCAACATGGCCTCCAGACGGCCAAGGTGACCTTCAAGATGATCATGACCCAAGAGAGGAGGAGATGTGTCCAAGTCCGCCCAAGAAACCTCCAAGACGGCCCAAGAGGTGCCCAAGAGACCTCCAAAACGGCCCGAGAGGCCCAAAGATCGCCCCCACAGCGCCCAAGAGGCCTCCAAGATGGCCTCAGGAATGCCCAAGAGGCCCCCAAGACGGGCTCAAGAGGGCACAAAGACGACCCAAGAGGCCTCCAAGACGCCCAAGATGGCCTCTAAGGCGGCCCTGGAGCACCCCAAGAGGGCCCCAAGTCGGCCCAGAGAGGCCCCCCAAACGGCTTCCGACGGGGCCCAAGACGGCCCAAGAGGCCTCCAAGGAAGAGGGCCTCCAGGAAGGCCAGAAAAGGCCCAAGCATTGATATTCCTCCGGTTTTTGAAGGCTTTTGACATTTGCTTCTTTTCGGCCATCCGAAAGCCGGATACGGCCCAAGAGCCCCCAGAGATCGCCCAAAAATCGCAGAAGAGGCCTCCAAGATGGCCCCAGAACAACCCAAGAGGCCGCCAAGACGGCCCCAAGAGGCCCCCAAGACGGCCCAGGAGGCGCCCAAGATGGCCTCCAAGACGGCCCTGAAGCATTCCAAGGGGCCCCCAAGTCGGCCCAGAGGGGCCCCCCAAACGGCTTCCGACGGCGTCGGACGGGCCAGGAGCCCACCAAAACGGCCGAAGATGGCCCTAAGATGGCCCAAGACGGCCCAAGAGGCTTCTAAGAGGGCCTCCAGGAAGGCCAGAAAAGTCCAACATCCCATGAGTTTTTCAAGGATTGTGGCATTTGCTTTTTTTCAGCCTTCCGACGGCCCGAGACGGCCCAAGTGCCCCCAAAGATCGCCCAAGAGGCCCACGACGGCCCCAAGAGGCCCCCAAGACGGCGAAAGAGGCCTCCAAGACGCTCAAGATGGCCTCCAAGACGGCCCAAGAACCCTCCAAGACGTCCTAAAAGAAGGCCCGAAAGGGTCAACATGGCATCCAGACGGCCAAGATGACTTTCAACATGCCCACATGTTTCCCGAAGGCTTTCCAAACCGATTCGGGAACACATGGTCCGATGGCTTGGCAGGTCTGGCCTCAGCGTTCGGCCACATAGGCGCTTCCGAAAAGGCAGGGGGCGGCGGTGATTCGCCGCAGGCGTCTTAGACACCATTCCACTCGACCCGTCACACGGGGACATCGCCACCTCGGAAAACATAAAACAATGCAGGTCTACTAACTATACTCGCCAACGCAGATGCAGGGAAAGAGCGCAGGGGGAGGAAGAGGACCGCCTCTTCCAGCGCGCGTGGAAGGAGAGAGAGACTCGAGCGTTGGAGGGCGCGCGGGGGGGGGGGGGGGCGCCCCCAGGGAGCAGGAGGGGGAGAAACTCGAGTGCCGGGGTGGGGGGGAGCAGCGCGCGGGAAGGAGAGAGAGAGAGAGAGAGAGGGGGGGAGGGGGAACACAAAAAACTCGATTGCCGGGCGGGGGGGGGGGGCTCAGCGAGCCGTAAGGAGAGAAACTCGAGTGCTGCCCCCCCCCCCTTCCATCGCGCGGGGAAGGGAGGAAGGAAATAGGCTTAGACTCGAGTGTAAGGGGGTTTGCGCCCCGCCCCGCCGCCCCGCCCCACCCCCTTTCGCATGCCATGGGGAGGGGGGGGGCGTTCCCAATCGCTCTATCAAACTAGTGCTGCAATGGTATCGTGCTGTCGTGTTGTCGTCGTCCTGGCCCGCGGCCCGCCCGGGACCCCGTCCGCGACCCACCCTCGGCTCACCCGTGACCCACCCTCGACCCGTCCGCGGCCCACCCGCGACCAAGCCACGACCCGCCCGCAACCCAGTCGCACGCCCGCGACCCACCCGTGGCCCACCAGCGACTCACCCGCGACTCACCCGCGATCCGCCCGAGACCCCTCCGCGATCCGCCCGCCACCCGCGCACGACCTGGCAGCGGCCCGGCTGCCACTCACCCACAACACTCTGACGAGAATTCGGCGCCTGCGGCGAGCTTCTTCAAATCTGCGGTTCGAGCCTCGCAGGCTGCCGACGCCTCCCCCCCGGCCCATCCACTCACTCTTATCCGTCACTGCGGGGGCTGCGTATGGCAGCCTTCACTTTCCCCCCCTCTGGCCCCGCCTCTTCCACGCCCGCGCCCAGCGGTCTTTGTACAGGCGGGCCCCTGGATGGGACTCGCGGTCGCGGTCGCGCATGGCGATGATGCCCACCGCCTCGAGGGCGGGGGGAGGGGAGGGGAGAGTCTGGGAGCTCTGCTCCGGCAGAGCCTGGAACGAGGGGGAGGAGGAGAAGTTTCGGGTTTCGGGGTATACGGGGCCTGAGGTCAGTCCTGAGTTAGGGCCAGCCTGAAATGAAAACCAACCTCTTTAAGGCGCGGGGAAGGACATGCCACTCTTCAGGGGTTTGCCCTTGGCCAACCGCGAGAGGTTGGAGAGTCCCGTGGCCGTGGGCTTGGGTGGACAGGGTGAGGAGAAGGGGGAGGAGGAGAAGGAGGAGAAGGAGGAGGGGGAGGAGGAGTGAGGAGGGATGAATGAGGAGGGATGAGGGAGGAGGGACTGGGGAATGATGAGCAGGAGGAACATGATGAGTAGGAGGACCTTCCCAGTCCCTCCTTCTCCTGCTGCTCCCTCCTCGTCTTCATCTTTGTCCCCTTCCATCCATTTTCCCCGCCTCCTGCTCGGCCGTGAGGTCGTCTTCTCGACTGCACTCGGCGCCCGCGTGGCAGTCTTTTCGGCCGCGGGGCTTGCCCATTCGTTTCGGGACCGAGCGAAGTCCTGGTCTCGAAGTCCTGGTCGAACCCTTGCGGCGCATCAAGGTTGATGGGGTCTTTCGGCCGCGTTTCCCATGCCCTCAGTCTTGTATATGCACTCCTTCCTTAAACTGCACCATTATTCTGCCAGCCTCTTCAAAAAACAAATGCCCACCCGAACATGGCCTTCGAAATTCTAGCCCTGTGCCAAACGGCATGGGGCTGGAATTTCGAGAACCATGCTCCTTTGTGGAAAATTTCAAAGAGAAGCCCTGTTGGGGTTGCACTAGAGATCCTTCTGCGAAGGGAGGCATTGAAACTCGCCAGAGCAATGCCAGCGCAATGTCAAAGCAGTGCCACCGCAATGCCATCGCAATGCCACTGCGATCTCAAATCAGATGTGTTGGGGGCAACCCTTTGTGGTAGATTTCAAAAGGAATCTTTTTTTAGCGGAGGGTTTCAATAGGAATTCTTCTGCGAAGGGAGGCGTTCGGACTCTCCAGCGCAATGCTAGCGCAATGTCAAACCAATCCCAAGGCGACCCCAATCCAATGCCAATGCTATGCCAATGGGGGCAATCCTTTGTGGTAGATTTCAATAAGAACCCTCCTGGGGGGTGCAATAGGAATCCTTCTGCGAAGGGAGGCATTGAAACTCGCCAGCGCAATGCCAGCGCAACGCCAAAGAAGTACTAAAGCAATGCCAACGCAATGCCAATGCGATCCCAAATCCGATGTCAATGCAATGTCGTTGGGGGCAATTCTTTGTGGTAGAATTCAACAGGAATCGTGTTTCCGCGGAGGGTTTCAAGAAGTTTCTTCTGCGAAGGGGGGCATTAGGAAGCGCCAGCGCAATGCAAAAGCAGTGCCAACGCAATGCCAAACCAATGCCAAGTCGACCCCAATCCAATGCCAATGGGGGCAATCCTTTCTGGTATATTCCAGTCGGAATCCTTTTTGTTGTGCAGGTTTGCACTAGGAATCCTTCTGCGAAGGGAGGCACTAGGACTTGCCAGCGCAATGCCAGCGCAATGCTCAAACAGTGCCAACGCAATGCCAAATCAATGCCACGGCGACCCGAATCCGACGCCAATGCAATGTCGTTGTGGGCAATCCTTTGTGGTGGACTTTAATGGGAATCCTTGTTCTGGGGGTTGCAATGGGAATCCTTCTGCAAGGATAGGCATTGGAACTCGCCAGCGCAATGCCAGCGCACTTCCAACGCAATGCCAACACAATGTGGAACCAATGCGCTTGCGGGCATCCCCTCTTGGTGTATTTCAGTGAGAACCCTTCTGAGGTGATGTCATTGCGAACCCATGTTGGAAATATTTCAATAGGAATCCTTTTGTCAAACGCTTCGAATGTAATCCTTCTGTGGAAGAGTTCAATTTGAATCCGTCTTGTGTGTGGGTGGGGGGGTCACTAGGCATCCTTCCTGATGAGGTGGATTCATAAGAATCGTCTGGTGGAGCGTCCGACTAGGGCTCGCCCGCGCAGTGCCAACGCAGTGCCAACGCAATGCAAAACCAATGCCATGGCGATCCCAATCCAATGCCAATGGGGGCAATCCCTTGTGGTAGATTTCAACTTTTGCGAAGGGAGAATTTCGGACTCACCAGCGCAATGCCAGAGCAATGCCAAAGCAGTGCCAACGCAATGCCAGCGCAATGCCAAAGCGATCCCAACCCAATGCCGGTTGGGGAACTCCTTCGTGGCAGATTCCAATCGGAATCCTCCAGTGGAGGGCTTCGCATGGAATCCTTCTGCGGAGGAATTCAATACGAACCCTTTTTGCGGAGGGTTTCAATAGGAGTCCTTCTTGCATGGGGGTTTCAATGGAAGTCCTTCTGTGGAGGGCTCCATCATGATTCGCTAACGCAATGCTTGCGAAGTGTCAGCGCAATGCCAACGCAGTGCAAAGCACAATTCCAGCGCAATGCCAAACCATTGCCAAACCACTGCCAATGCAATGCCAACGAGGGGATTCTTTCGATCGAAGCATCTCAATAGCAATCATTACGCAGGAGATTCCAATATGAACCTACATGTGGAGGATTTGACTCGCAATCCTTCCTTGGAGGGTTTCGATAGAAATCCTCCGGTGGAGGATTTCACTATGAACCCTTCTTGTGGGGGCTTTCAATAGGAATCCTTCCAGAGGTGAGGGCAGATGAGGCCACGTAGCATTTATTTTTTGTCACCGCCGCCCCCCCCCCCCCCAGGAAAAAAAACGGCTTCGCATTTTTGGTGTGGGGCGGCCAAGCGAAGGACAAAATGATGGGGCCTCCCTCTCCTCCTTTTCTGCCTCCTCCTCCTCCTCCCGCTCCGCCTCCTTCCCCCAGAATCGAATTGTTGTCTTCTCCTGCTCGCCCCCCCCAACAAAAAGCGGGAGGCCGCGCCGCGTTTTTTGTTGTGGGGGGGTGGGGGGCAGGAAACGAAAAAACGCTCGACTCTGGGGGGAGGAGGAGGAGGAGCAGGAGAGAGAAGGATGAAGAGGAGGAGCAGGAGAAGAGGGAGAAAGAGGAAGAGGGGGAGGAGGAGGAGGAAAAGGAAGAAGAGGAAGACTGTTCGAAAACTCCACCAAAGAACTATACGAACCCACTCTTCGTTCTCTCCTTCTCCTCCTCCTCCTCCTCCTCCTCCTCCTCCTCCTCCTCATCGTCCTCCTCCTCCTCCTCCTCCTCCTCCTCCTCCTCCTCCTCCTCCTCCTCCTCCTCCTCCTCCTCCTCCTCCTCCTCCTCCCCCCACGAGAGCGGAGGGGTACTCGACCATAGAGCGCCAGGTGGGCCCCGAAGCGCACGGGGCGGAGGAGGGCACAAGGCCGCGACCCGTATAGCTCCGCAGTGCCGGCGGCGCGCGGATGAGCGGCAAACGAGCGCACGAACACTGTCGGCAACCCGCGCGGATTTCCTGGATCGGCGCTGGGGCCTCCTCCCTGCGCCTCTGGCGCCGCCCCTACAGTTGGGGCGTTGACCCAAGGAATCCTAAAGAAGGAACGAGGCCCCTTGTTCCCATAGGTCAAACTTCGCTTCTCCCAAGGCAAGCTGTACAACAACTAGAGAACACGGAGCCCCTCCCAGACGAAAGGGGTTCCTTCTTCAGCGCGCCGCCCCTAGTGCGCTCCGCGCGCCAGGGAGGGGGGTCCAGCGCCGATCCAAGAAACCCGCGCGGAGCTCCGAGACATGTTTATGCTGCTGTTGTTGTTCTTCTTCTTCGAGATCGCACGATGCTTGTTTGTTTATGCCGTTGTGGTGCAGGCATGTGCAACGTCTTTCCTGGAAGAGGGCCCACATGTTGCACAACTCGCATCGCATTGATTTGAAATCGCGCTGGCTATGAACGTTTCCGTCCGGGAGGGCCTCGACTCCCGCACACCTTGCGCGGTGGATGTCTGCTTTCACCGAGTTCCGAGCAAGGGTCAGAGTGAAGTTTGACATGAATTGCAGCATCCTTCGACTGCTCGTGCCGTCGCAAATGCTGGAACTGCTCCGTCGTGCGAAAGCAGGCCCACCAAGAAATTCTAGACCAAGAACCCTGTGCTGTTTTGGAGTCCGTGTCTGGAACAGGTCCGGCGGCGGGAGCAACGCTCAGGGGTTCCAAGCCGCATGATGGGATTGTGACGTCCTTGAAACAGGCATGTGTGGTTGAAGCATTCCACATTGAAAAACCGCGCGACGAAAACAATCACGGTTATGCGGAGGGCAATTAAGACATTTCGAGGGCTTGGCGCCGCAAGGCTTTGCGTAGACCGTATACAAAGATTCCCCAGAGGTGATGCAAGCAAATTTCAAGGCTTGCTCCCTGATTGGGGTCTTAATCTAAGCAGGGCTGCTCTGGCAGTGTCGCACAGCAAGGTTGTCGACATGTTGCTCGATATGCTGCTTAGCACGTCTGACAATAAGACCCCAAGCACATCTGGAGTGAGAGGACGACTGTGTAAAATCCATGCCAGCGCGCTTGCATCGATGTTCACCGAAGCCTTTGACGTGCTAACTACTGGTAGGCGTGATATGCCTGATCACTTGACAGGTTATCTGTGGTTTGCCCTGCCGAAGAGAAAAAGTGCAGCCAGCGTCAGACAGGTCCGCGATCTGGAACTGTTGCCCAAAGACGACGCGACGATTGTTTGCCGCATTTTCGCTCGTATACTTGGTCACGCTTGCGCTGCGCAATTGGAGCAAAGACAGGAAGTCTCCGTGACCGAGGGCAGCTCCAGCGCAACGTCATCGGCATCTCTGAACCAACCATGCGGGCGCAGTGGGACAAAAACGTCTTGCGTTGTTTGCTGTTCTTGGGTTCCAGAAGACCTTGATTTGGATGTCGTGGGAATAGACAACTGCAGCTCTGACCCGGGCCCGACTTCCAGAAACCTCGTTTCACGGCATCCAACAATTGATGCGTAACCCCAGGAAGCATTTAAGAACCCCCCCGGCGATATCGTAGCACCGCATTATTTATTCGA